ACATTTCCTCATCTGTCTCTTTAATTTGAATGAAAAAATCATATGAATTCACGAGGATCCGTGTAGATCCGCCTTTTACCTTTTTCCATCTGTCTCTTTTCCTGGGCTGCAGAAGCAGGAAATTCCGCTTGGCGGGGGGGGGAGATTATTTTCGGAGGGGGGGGGATCTCCTCCATTATTCCCCACACTCGCTGATCGTGGGGGCGTTGAAAGGGTGTCTTGATGAAGCCATTTCTTAGCCTCTTCTCCCTCCCAGCCTTTCTTTGGGATTCAGGAGCCTCTATGTTGGAGGAGGGGGAGAGCCAAGGTAACCCCCCCCTCATTGCCATCCCTGTCTTTGGCACAGAGGGGGGAGGGGGGCAGCCCCGTGAGCGCAGAAGCAGGGAAACTGCAGGAAGGAAGAGGGAGGGGTTGCAAGGGTTAAAAGGAGCAAAGCCGGATTCCTATAGAGGGCAGGAAGTGAAGGGGGAGGGGGGGTCAAGGTCCTCCATGCCAAAATCCCTCCCTCCCACCTCCCTTCCTGCAAGCAGAGAGGAGGTTGCTTTGTTTTCTCTCCTTTGCAAAAGCTTCCTCGGTGAGTCCCCTCTCTCTTTCCCCTCAGGGGTCCCGGGGGGGGGAGGGAGGGGACATGGGGGTCCCTGTTCAGATCATGCACGGTGGGGGGAGACACCCAAGTCAGGGAGTAGTGGGTCCTCTTTGTCCTCTCTGCCAAGCCAGGGAGGGGGCCACTTCGCAGGAGGTCTGCAGCTCTGCTCTTCCTTGGGATCCAGATGCTGCCTTCCTTTTGGGGGAGGGGGCTTTGAGTCAAGAAAATAAACCCCCTTCAGATGGAGGGATAAGTCACCTTTGTGAACAGAGGATGTAGACAGACGGGAACATTCCCACATTGGGGGAGCACAGGGAGAAGAAAAGCCCTTCTGCATCTGCAGCAGCACAACTGGACCACTTCCTCTGTCCCAGATGCAACAACACATGTCCCTCTCCTGTTCTCTCTCCACCCACAGCTGGCGCTGTTACCTTCCAACAGCTGGATCTCACTCCCAAAGGCACTCTCTTCCATGGTCTCCCAAGACAGATGGAGACCAAGGAACCATTCCCACCCCCTCACAATGCACAATGGGGCTTTCCTTCCCCTCCTCCTCCTGATGCCTTGAGGACGTTAGGGGGGGGGAGTCCACCCCACCAGATGCTGAGAGAGGAGGTCCTTCCATCTGGAAAATGGGAACACTTTGAAGAATTATGTAAAGATGAGTGCCGTATAATCATAATAATAAAATTATTACAATGTGGAATTCCATTTACACAAAGAATAATACCCATCATTAAAATTGTTCCATTACGATGTTGAAATAAGCATGCAGGAAAAGAATAGAATTAAAACAGTGCAGCTATTAAGAGGCAGAAAAGAACAGAGCAATTAGAGGCTTCTAAAGCGTGTCAACGGTGCTCTCCACACAAAGCACCTAGCATGGGGGCACCTACATGTAATAGTTGCTCTGCTATTTTCTGCCCATGCTCTGGGGTTGCAGTTTTCAGGCTTGGGGACAGGACAGTGAGTGGTTTTTCACCAAGTTCTGTCAGTTATCCCCATTGAGTTCAAAGGGATCTACTGTCAGGTCACTAGTGTGCAGACCATGCCATCCTAGGGATGTTTAGAAATGTGGCTTCTCTTGGGAAGGGGTTGCCCCATTTGTGCTTCTCCAGGGGCAGGGGAATATCCAGGGCAGGAGAATCCCTGCAGGGCCTCTGAGGCTCCCTTTGCTTCTTCCTCTCTCCCAGGACCCTGCAGCTTGTTGTGGCTTCTCGATTCCTCAGGAAGGATGAAAGAGACGGATCCTGCAAAGCTAGTGAGGATGGAAGGGGGAAGATGGACGGTTGACCTGGTCAGGTTGTCTCCTGCATCCCTCCCCACAACCTCTGAGCGTTCCCTCCCAGGGACCTCCGAGAGATCTGGTGAGTCCCAGAGGAGGGGAGATGGGGACCTGGATGGACGGAGCCAGAGAGGTATCAGGGCTTGCTCAGTTTGGGGGTGGGAGGAGGCAGGCAGGCGGATGGAGATGGAGAAGGGGAGCACTTTTTTGGGCTCCTCCACCTGCTTCCTGCCTACGCCTTTGTCTCCTGCAGGCATTTTGAGCTAGGAATACAGTCGTATAGTCAGAATCCGTTCTTGAAGTCTCTTCGACTTCCGATGCGTGACCTTTGATTGGCTCTTGCAATGGGAAGAGCAGATCGGAAGCTGACGCAACGTCACTTTCTCTCCCTGGCACCGCTTCCCTTTCCCTCAGCTGAAATCTGACTGTCGGAAGATTTGTAAGATTAAAATATCACTTATTTATGCCGAACAATGTTATGAGATAGGTATTGATGTAACTGAAAAAAGAAACAAAACAGAATGCAATTAATTGGTAAACTATTAGACGTGATAGAAGGAAGTCACAAAGCTCCTTCGAGCAGAAGATGTTAAGAAAAAAGATATGATGAGATGTGTCTATATGTTAAAAAAAATCTTTGGGAAAACAGGTTGCAAACAAACCTTATTATAACAGATGTAAACAAGGAGTTTTGGTTCTTATTCTTCCACAGAAATGGAACAAACAGTGCTGTTGTTTTTTTCTATTAACATGAATACGGATTCAAGTTATAGGCTGTATGCTGTTTAGGTTTAAGGTTACTTCCTTGTACACATTTTCCATGGATCAGGCTTATCCACACACATTTCTGGAACTGAATCCTGATCCTGCGTCCTCCGTGTGTTGCCTTTTTCTTTTCTTTTTGGACTAACTGTTATTTGCTTTTAAAAACAAGGATCATAGGACCACTAAATGATGCAAATATGTAGACCAGGGGTCAGAAATCTATGGCCCACAGGCCGCAAGCGGCTCATAGGGGTCATTTAACTGAGCTGCCCCCGAACTGAGCCGTCCGCTCAGTGAGTCCCATGTCTACACATGTGATCCTGCACACGGAGCGATTTCCGTGAGAGTGAACCAGCCGAGGCGAGGTAAAGCTTGCCAACCCCTGATGTAGACCGAGTCTTCTCATGTCATTTGTAGATCTCAAAACTAGCAGAATCTATTTGCAGGAATATCTATAACATACGATTCATCGTTAGTGGTCAGTGTGTGAGTTCTGGGTGCATGAAATGTTTTATTTTTTATTATTTTTTTAAATGATATTTATTAAGAATTTTAAAATTACAAAGAAATCGAGAGAAAAAGAAGGAAAAAAATAAAAACAATAGAAAGACAAACAGCAGTCAAACAATACAAATCGATAAAAGTCAAAATCAAAAAACAAAAACAAAACACATAACACATCAAAATCACAAAACAAAAATAAACCACAAAAATTTAAAAACAGATCCAATATTCCCAAATCCTTAACTGTCATGACCTTATTTCATCGACCTCCTCACACCTCCCTTTTTTGTATTCTAGTTGTTAATTATAACAGCATATCCTTTCCATTTTTCATAATATCCTGTCGTTAAATTACCTTGATCTATTTTGACCTATATTACATAAAAAACCCTAAAATTTAAAACTTAAATTTTATTTATACCAATTTCTCCTGACCTTAGCATTTTCTTGCAAAGTTCTTTTTAACATTTCTGCTAAAGCCAAATAATTTCGTTCCAAGATTTTTCTAATATTCATTAATTTTTCAAAACAATCCTAAATAAATTTTTTTAAAAACTTTCTTCCAATCTTCATCCAACGTCTCTTCCTCCTGGTACCGGGTTTAGTCAGTCCTTTCTATCCCATCCATCTAGTTCATTAACCTGGTAATCTTATGTCCGAGGCCCTTAAGTCTCTTCCATGTCCCTTCCGCAGATCTTCTTCATATTTATACCTGTACTCTACTTTGTCTCCTGCTCCTTTCACTTGTGGAAACTCCAACTTAACAATATTTTTGTCCCTTCTCGACAAATCACTGAACTCCATGTGATTTTTAAAGACATGTTTCAAACCCCCTCCAGAGTTGAGGACCCCCACATCCCCAAACTCCTCACGGCCCATTGCCAGACTTGAAAAGTCAAAACATCCCTGCATAGGGGGGTCTATCCAGCCCCCCATCTCCAAGCCAAATACAACTCTATCTCTCCAAATCTGGCTTTTTCCAAGTTCATTTGTCAGATCCAACAACTCATGTTCCTGCTGGCCACAGCTCCCTCCATCTCTGCCACCCGAGGTCCAACAACAACCTCCTCCCTCATCTGATCTGTCAGAGCACAAGTTGGTTCCTGGGTGGGTTCTATATAGATACCCACTGCCTGTCCAAAATTTCTAATCACAACAGTCATCAAATCCGTCTTCTCATGTAACTGTTCCAGTAAAGCACTTGTCTTGCAGAAAGCACGCACCATAGCCTCTGAGTACATTGTTATGCAAGGTCAGAAGTCTGTTCCCACGGTCTTAATCTATTTGCAGCTGCAAAGCTCCCCAGTTCAAATTCAATAACAGTTTCACAAGCTCCCTCTAGGGGAAAAACTTCTATTTGTATCCATCTCTTTTTTCCCTCAAAAGCAGATCTAACAACAAAGTTTCCTTTTTCAGATATTTTGTCAATATTTGTTCCTTTAAAATGCGAAGGAGAACAATGGAATCACTATGTTTCTCTTCTTTTGACTGTCTGTCAAAAACGTTTGTCTGTAGTCAATGAACTTCCCAAAAGCTTCTGTCCTGACACCCCGCTCCCAGGTTCAAGACGGTGGAGAATTACTTTTCTTTACACTCTCTTCTGCAGGCTTAAACAATCCAGAAAAAATCCCCCCTCTTCTCCTGCTTCCGAAGGGGGTTCAGTACTTTTAAATGATGAAAGTTGATCCTTTGCGAACGATTTTTTGAACTCTAGTTTACCATGTCTTTGCTTTAATCTATCTACAAGAAACGGAAGGCTGACTTCCTGTTTAGACCTTCCCGCTTCAGTGCCAATTTAAGAAGAATTTCTCAATCCAATTTTCCGTTCTACTCACTGGTCGTTGTTTAAAGTCCAATTGTCCAAATTTAGTCTACTCACGGGTAGTTGTTTTTGTAGCCAAATTGTCCCAGGAAAAAGGTAGCGCTCTCCGGCAACGGCTGTGCAGCTTCGCTCCACAGAAGAAGCAGTTGACTCTCAGCACCGCGCCACTTGCCCCTCTTTGCTCCGGAACCCGTAATTGGGTTCCTTTACGGATTGGGCGCGCGCGAAAGGTGCCCGCCGAGTCCCATGGTCACAGGCTTCATCCGCCTGTGATTTTTTAAAGGGTCCCCGCTTCGCCGTAGCAGAACAAACCCGTTTTCCGTGGAGCCAGTCCCTCCGGATCAGAGGGAATCCGCCATTACCGATGGCGCCACCCCGGAAGTCCCATGAAATGTTTTAAACTGGAACAAAAAATAGGGAAACAGGAGAGAACAGAGAGCATTCAACATTGCATAGCTGAATGCCTAGTCAGGAGTTCTTGCGGCTGGTGTGTTAGGTTAAGTGTGATTAATAGTCATTTTTCCTCTTCTGTTACCAATGAAACAATACAGAGTTGGTCTCCTCATGAACACAGGACAGGGGTTCAAACTGAAGCAAGTGATTTACGTATAAATTTAAATTTAGACCAATCAGATTGAGGCAGCTGCTGATGGGGTGTAGGTTTCACAGACAAGGCATGGACGTTAATGCATTGTGACCAAAGAGTTATGCATAAGGAAGTGTAAAGGAGGAGTGTAGGAATGAAAATCAGGACAGACGAGTCGCAGGTGTCATGTGAGAGGCGTCTGCCGGGGCAAGCCCCGGGAACTCTCTTTTATTGAATATTAGAAACATTGCCACAGGTGTGCTTGTGGCTGATTGGTTGATACAAACACAAAGCAACTTGTTGCTGATTGGTTAACATAAGTACAAGGCGGGAATTACATACGATCATTAATCACCAATAGATTAAAGGCTGGGAAAGGGAGCTGGAACTAGACAGGCATGAAAGCCTCCTAATTAAAATATAACCAATGATTAATATATTAAGACTAAAACAATTACCTTTCAATATATGTGGTCAACTAAGCATTAAGGAATAGGTCAAAGTGTAATGTTGTCTTGAACTCAAACTGAACTGGAACATTTTGGGATGATGAGAGAATGTCCCAAGAACGGTTTGTGCAGTATTATGTACAGAAACAAAGCTTGGCGGTGAGGCTATCCCAGCATGCCACAGTCATGTGTAGAAGCAAATGTGTAGAGGCAAATGTGTAGAGGCAAATATTCCTACAGAGGAGAATCGTGGGATCATGGACTGTCTGAACCCCTCTCTCCTGTAATCTTCATAGAACTCTAACCCGATGGTTGCCATTAATTTCATTCTGAATTGATTCTAGAATGTATTTTAATTACCTTATTTTTTGCTTCATAAGACACACTTTTTTCTTCCTAAAAAGCAAGGGGAAATGTCTGTATGTCTTATGGGGCGAATGTGTGGTCCTTGGAGCCGAAGTGCCCAGGGGCAAAAAGCAGATCATGCTTTTTTTGTTTTTGTTTTTTGAAAGAGGGAAGTGGGTGTTGAAACAAAGCCGCTGATCGGCAAGCGACTGGGAGCAAGATAAGGGACGCTAGCAATAAAGAAGGCTGCCTGGGAGGGGGGAGGTAAAGACAGCAAACTTGCAAGGAGAGGAGACAGGAAGACTAAAGCAATGAGGAGAGTAATTAGAAGAAAGGGAGTAGCAAAGAACTGCTCCAGCTAAGGAAAAGACACTAAGGCAAACAAGAGGGAAGGGAGTGTTGAAAGGAAGCAGCTGATCGGTAAGGGATCGGGAGGGAGATAAGGGACGCTAGCGATAAAGGAGGCTGCCTGGGAGGGGGGAGGTAAAAGTCTATGGATCCTAAGGATTTTTACATTGGGTCACCTCAAATTCACCATCAGATCACATAGCATGTCCATGGCTACAGCCTGCACCAGAAAAAGCACGCACCCAGTGTTGCCTGGGGCCACAATGGTGCAAAAACGTGGTTACAAAGCACAGAGCCCCATGGATCCTGAGGATTTTTGCATTGGGCTTCCGCCACAGAATCCAAACGGATGTAACCAGAAAACACCATCGCTTACAAGAAAATCTAAACCATGCTGAAAGGAGAGCCATAGATAATCTCAGGAACAACCCAGACATTATAACTAAAGAGGCGGACAAGGGTGGAGCTGTCGTCATCATGAACAAAACTGATTACATCCAGGAGGCTCACAGATTCTAATACCGCCTTTTACATAAAATTGGACTCAGACCCCACACAAGAATATAACAAAGAACTGAACAAGATTGTTGAGGAGCTACATCCACACATCCAAGAACAGATCCTCACAAACACACCAGCAGAACCTCGACCAGGAACTTTCTATCTTCTACCTAAAATACACAAACCAGGAAATCCAGGACGCCCCATCATCTCAGGTATTGGCACTATTACTCTTACTATATGGTTATATGGACTCTGTTCTGAAACCATATGCCATCCGTGCTCCCAGCTACGTACGTGACACCACAGAGTTGAATAATCTTCCTAACAATACTATAGTAGCCACTATGGATGTGGAATCTGTATACCAACATCCCACACAACGATGGCTTACAAGCTATAAGGAACACCATTTCAGATAAAATCACAGCGGACTTTGCTACCAAACTCTGCCATTTGGTCCTTACCCACAACAACTTCAAATTTGGTGATGACCTGTTCCTCCAGATCAGCGGCACAGCAATGGGCCCCCGCATGGCCCCACAGTATGCCAACATCTTCATGGCACATTTCGAACAACATTTCCTAAACTCCTATCCACTTAAACCTCTCTTGTACCTGTGATACATACCATCTGAGGACTATTTAATTGCTCTTCTTCTAACATTGTGTATGCCAGTGTTTCCCAACCTTTTTTGGGCAAAGGCACACTTGTTTCATGAAAAAAATCTCGAGGCACACCACCATTAGAAAATGTTAAAAAATTTAACTCTGCGCCTATATTGACTATATAAAAAGTACAGTGGTGCCTCGCAAGACGAAATTAATTCGTTCCGCAAGTCTCTTCGTCTTGCGATGCACGGTTTCCCATAGGAATGCATTGAAAATCAATTAATGCGTTCCTAGGGAAACCGCCTTCAGACCAGGTCCGGGGACAGTCTGTCCCCCGACCTCTTCTGAAGGCTGGGGGGGGGGGACAAGGGCTTTTCTTCCCACTGCCAGCCTTCAGAAGGCTGTTCTGAAGGCTGGCGGTGGGAAGAAAAGCTCTTCTTCCCACCTCCCGCCCCGCAAGCTCCGGGGACAGGAGGGCTTTGCTGCCGACCGCCAGCATTTTAAAAGCCCCTGCTGTCCCGGGGCGATTTTAAAATGCTGGCGGGCGGGAGCGAAGTCTCCGCTGCCCCGAGGAGATTTTAAAATGCTGGGGGTCGGCAGCGAACGCTTCGCTCCCACCCGCCAGCATTTTAAGATCGCCCGGGGCAGCAGAGAAGTCTCCGCTGTCCCGGGAAGGCAGGCGGGGGGAGCAAAGACTTTTGCCCCCGCCTGCCTTCAGAAGAGGTCCAGGACCTCGTTCCGATGCCCGGCGGCGGGGTGCGAGGTTCCCGCCTCACCGCCCGGCATCGGGGCATCGTTCCGATGCCGGGCGGCGGGGTGCGAGGTTCCCGCCCCCCCGCCCCGCTTCGGAGCAGCGTTCCGAAGCGGGGCGGCTGGGGCAGGTGTTCCCGCCCCCCGCCCCGCTTCGGAGCAGCGTTCCGAAGCGGGGCGGCTGGGGCAGGTGTTCCCGCCCCCCGCCCCGCTTCGGAGCAGCGTTCCGAAGCGGGGCGGCTGGGGCAGGTGTTCCCGCCCCCCGCCCCGCTTCGGAGCAGCGTTCCGAAGCGGGGCGGCTGGGGCAGGTGTTCCCGCCCCCCCGCCCCGCTTCGGAACACCGGGAGAAGCGATCTCCCCGCAGCCCCTTGCTTCAAAAGAGGTCCGGGGGCAGCGGGGAAGAAGCGCTGCGCTTCCCGCTGCCCCCGGACCTCTTTTGAAGCAAGGGGCTGCGGGGAGATCGCTTCTCCCCGCAAAGCCTTGCTTCAAAAGAGGTTCGGGGGCAGCGCGAAGCGCTTCCCGCTGTCCCCGGACCTCTTTTGAAGCAAGGGGCGGTGGGGAGAAGCGATCTCGGGCGGCGCGCAGGCGCACTGCTCGCTCCTCTTTCCGCGCAGGCGCCTTCTCTCGCTCTTTCGCCTCCTTTTCTTTCTCTCTCGATGGTCCGCCTACAAAGGAGCGAGGGAGGCGCCCGCCATGTTTGGATTTGCATCCAGCAGGAGATGCCGCCGCCGCCCCGCCTCTCCCGCCTCCCTCCCACGGCACGCCAGGCAAGGTCTCACGGCACACTGGTGTGCCGCGGAACACCGGTTGGGAAACACTGGTGTATGCCATCAAATGCCAACAGTGCCCTTCAGCTCTCTATACTGGACAAACAGGCCAAACCCTACGCCAAAGGATAAATGGACATAAATCTGATATCATGAATCATAAGATAGAGAAACTAGTAGGAGAACACTTCAATCTCCCAGGACATTCTATACAAGATCTCAAAGGAGCTGTCTTATTACGAAATAATTTCCGAAATAGACTGGAAAGAGAAGTTGCTGAATTGCAACTTATTACCAAACTTAAAACCCTGGAGAGACCTGGTCTGAATAGAGACATTGGATTCTTATCTCATTATACATGATAAAGCTGTTTTACCCATCTCACCCCTTGCTTTTTCCTGTAAGACCAATTGCAGTCATTAACAGCCATCAACAGGTTTACCACACCTACCAGCCAATCACCCATTCCCACCACCCTTCTGAGAAATACCTCTCCGCAGCCTCTCACTATATATAAGGCTCTGGTGACTTCTGTTTCAGTGTGTCTGAAGAAGTGTGCATGCACACGAAAGCTCATACCAATAACAAACTTAATTGGTCTCTAAGGTGCTACTGGAAGGAATTTTTTTAATTCATTAACATTGTTCATTAATCTGGTGCTTCATTTCTTCCTGAGGCTCTAATTAGCTTCTCTCTTCATTGCAGATGGTGATGAATTTGAGGGGAAGAACAAAGGGGACCACAACAGAATCCACATAGCGGAGAAGTCAAGTAAATATTCAGGGTATGGAGAGAACACCCGTCAGACCTCCCAGTCCACCTCCCATCAAAGAAAGAGCTACATTCAGAGGGATAGCCTTACTTCACACGAAAGAACTCACAGTGGTGATAAACTGCATCAGTGCTTGGAATGTGGAAAGAGCTTCAGTCGGAAGGATTCTCTCACTTCCCATCGAAGAATTCATACAGGTGAGAAACCCTATCAATGTTTGGAATGTAGAAAGTGCTTCACCCAAAGGGCCCATCTCCTGATGCATCAAAAAACTCATACAGATCAGAAACCCTATCAATGCTTGGAATGTGGAAAGAGCTTCAGTCGGAAGGATACTCTCACTTCCCATCACAGAATTCATACAGGGGAGAAACCCTATCAGTGCTTGGAATGCGGAAAGAAATTCAGACTGAGCTCACAGCTGACTTCCCATCACAAAATTCATACAGGGGAGAAACCCTATCAGTGCTTGGAATGCGGAAAGAAATTCAGACTGAGCTCACAGCTCACTTCCCATCACAGAATTCATACAGGGGAGAAACCCTATCAGTGCTTGGAATGTGGAAAGAAATTCAGACTGAGCTCAGAGCTCACTTCCCATCACAGAATTCATACAGGGGAGAAACCCTATCAGTGCTTGGAATGTGGAAAGAAATTCAGACTGAGCTCAGAGCTCACTTCCCATCACAGAATTCATACAGGGGAGAAACCCTATCAGTGCTTGGAATGTGGAAAGAGCTTCAGCCATAGTAGGATTCTGACAACCCATCAAAGATTTCATACAGGGGAGAAACCCTATCAGTGTTTGCAATGCAGAAAGTGCTTCAGTCAGAGGAGAAATCTCACTTCCCATCGAAGAATTCATACAGGAGAGAAACCCTATCAGTGCTATGAGTGTGGAAAGAGCTTCACTCAGAGGGCCAATCTCACTTCCCATCAAAGAATTCATACAGGTCAGAAACCATATAAATGCTTTGAATGTGGAAAGAGCTTTAGTCGGAGCAACTCTCTCACTTCCCATCAAAGAATTCATACAGGTGAGAAACCCTATCAGTGCCAGGAATGTGGAAAGAGCTTTCGTGAGGGGGGGAAACTCGCTTCTCATCGAAGAATTCATACAGGTGAGAAACCCTATCAATGCTTGGAATGTGGAAAGAGCTTTCGTGAGGGGGGAAAACTCGCTTCTCATCGAAGAATTCATACAGGTGAGAAACCCTATCAATGCTTGGAATGTGGAAAGAGCTTTCGTGAGGGGAGAAAATTCGCTTCTCATCGAAGAATTCATACAGGTGAGAAACCCTATCAATGCTTGGAATGTGGAAAGTGCTTTCGTGAGAGGGGAAAACTCGCTTCTCATCGAAGAATTCATACAGGGGAGAAACCCTATCAATGCTTGGAATGTAGAAAGAGCTTCAGTCGGAGGGATAGTCTTACTTCCCATCAAATAATTCATACAGGGGAGAAACCCTAACAGTGCTTGGAATGTTTAAAGAAGAAACAATAATAACAGATATAGGTAGGTAGCCATGTTGATCTGCCATAATTGAAACAAAATAAAAAAGTTTGCTATTGGTATGAACCTTCATGTGCATGTACACTACTTCAGATACCATGCATGAATAAACTTGGTTGGTCTTTAAGGTGCTACTGGAAGAATTTTTTTAAAAAAATAATAATTTATTACTTGTACTGGTGTTCCACAGTATCTGTTCCACAGATACGCTGGGCAGCTCCCAACAGAATATTGAAAACATGATAAAACATCAAGCGTTGTTGTTGTTTAGTCGTTGAGTCGTGTCCGACTCTTCGTGACCCCATGGACCAGAGCACGCCAGGCACTCCTGTCTTCCACTGCCTCCCGCACTTTGGTCAGACTCATGCTGGCAGCTTTGAGAACACTGTCCAACCATCTCATCCTCTGTCGTCCCCTTCTCTCTCTCTCTTTTTTATAAAATTTTTATTAGTGTTTTACATTACAAAATAGACAAAGAAAAAGAAAAAATACAAAATAAAAATAGTTAAAAACAATCAATCTTTTCATCACATTTTTTCCCCATTAACTTATTTCCCGGACCTCCTCATACCTCCCTTTCTTGTATTCCAGTTCAATTTATTAACTTAGCAGTTTCTTTCCCTCTTTAATTCAACCCAGATCTTAAATCTTAAGTTATATCATTAAATTTTTACTTATAAAGAAAAACCATTTTTTCATGTTCTTTTATACCACTACAGCTAGAAACCACTTAATTTCAATCCAACATCATTCTAACATTCATTAATTTTACAATATTTCTGTAAATAATCTTTAAATTTCTTCCAGTCTTCTTCCACCGACTCTTCTCCCTGATCTCGGATTCTACCAGTCATTCCATGTAATCCATCACCTTCATCTGCCATTCTTCCAAAGTGGGTAAATCTTGTGTCTTCCAATACTTTGCAATAAGTATTCTTGCTGCTGTTGTCGTGTACATAAAGAAAGTTCTATCCTTCTTTAACACCGATTGATCGACTATGCCCAGGAGAAAGGCCTCTGGTTTCTTCAAGAAGGTATATTTAAATACCTTTTTCAATTCATTATATATCGTCTCCCAGAAAGCCTTAATCCTTGGGCACGTCCACCAAAGGTGAAGGAATGTACCTTCAGTTTCTTTACATTTCCAACATTTATTATCAGGCAAGTGATAGATTTTTGCTAGCTTGACTGGGGTCATGTACCACCTGTATATCATTTTCATAATATTCTCTCTTGTCGTCCCCTTCTCCTTGTGCCTGCAATCTTTCCCAACATCAGGGTCTTTTCCAGGGAGTCTTCTCTTCTCATGAGGTGGCCAAAGTACTGGAGCCTCAGCTTCACGATCTGTCCTTCCACTGAGCACTCAGGGCTGATTTCCTTCAGAATGGAGAGGTTTGATCTTCTTGCAGTAGAATTGTAGAGTTGCAAGTAAAAGTAAAAGGTAAAGGACCTCTGGACGTTTAAGTCAAAGGAGACTGTGTTACAGCGCTCATCTCGCTTTCAGGCCGAGGGAGCTGTTGTTTGTCCACAGACAGCTTTCCGAGTCATGTGGACAGCATGACTAAACCACTACTGGCACACGGAGGACCGTGACGAGTGCCAGAGCGCACAGAAACACAGTTTACCTTCCCACTGCTGTGGTACCTATTTATCTACTTGCACTGGTGTGCTTTCGAACTGCTAGGTTGGCAGGAGCTGGGACAGAGCAATGGGAGCTCACCCCATCGTGGGGATTTGAACCGCCAACCTTCCAATCAGCAAGCCCAAGAGGCTCAGTGGTTTAGACCACAGCGCCACCCGCGTCCCTAAAAGAGTTGCAAGTACCCTGGGGTCATCCAGTCCAACCCTCTGCAACACAGGAATCTCATTTCTAGCATCCCTGAGAGATGGCCATCCAACCTCTTCTCAAAAGCCGCCAGTGAAGAAGAGACCACAAACTCCAGAGGGAGACCAGTCCACTGTCAAACAACTCTAATCACCAGGAAGATGAGCCCTTTGATAAATTTGGTTTTGGCAACTGCAAAACAACATACAAGATCCTGGTTTTTCCCTGAGATATGACACTTGAAAATCGGCTGTATTATATTCAGAAATGATTTTGGCCACGTAGAAGAAGAGTTTGGATTTGATATCCCGCTTTATCATTACCCGAAGGAGTCTCAAAGCGGCTAACATTCTCCCTTCCCTTCCTCCCCCACAACAAACACTCTGTGAGGTGAGTGAGGCTAAGAGATTTCAGAGAAGTGTGACTAGCCCAAGGTCACCAAACTGCTGCATGTGGAAGAGCGGAGACGCGAACCTGGTTCCCCAGATTACGAGTCTATCGCTCTTAACCAGTACACCACAGTGGCTCTTGTAGTAAACAACAGTATTTTTCTTTCCAAATTTAATGAGTAGGAAATCTCCAACATTTATATTTTCAGGATTGGGAACATCAAAAATTGTACACTAGCAGGGCACTTCTATACGTATCAATGTGCCCCATGTCTTAGTGTATCAAAGTGCCCAAAACAGACATTTTCAAAAAAATAACATTTATTAATAAAACCACTGAATTTATTTAAAAATCATGTGTAATCCTGATTACTGAGTGGAATAACTTACCTTTGGTCTTTTTAAATCTTAAGGATTTAAAACAGCGTTGAAGCACTTTGACATTTCTCATAATTTTTCATTTGGCTGCACTATAAACACACCTACTCTTGTCAAACACCAACAGCTAACTGGTGGGCGGCTGGTCACAACTGTTGTACATGTATAGACATGTTTCTCAAAATTGAAATATTGTCAGTGTATCAATGTGCCCCTTACATCAATGTGCCCCCCTCCCCCCTACATGCCAGAGAGGCTGCTTCCCTGGGCAAGGAAGGAGCAGGAATCCCTAAAGGGGAGGATCTGTATGTGATCCCATCTCTAGAGCTCACATAAACACCAGAAGGAAGATGGCCAGGGTGTAAAAGGCAAAAGCAGGCCTCAGGGACGCTTCTCCCCTTTCCCCCATAGAAACCTGGGACCCCTTCTCCAGGAGGGACCTCTGAAGAGGAGGAAACCAGGGCGGATCAGTCCCTGGACCTTGGAGGCGATTCCTGGACTCCTCTGGAAATATGCAATATAATGTTCCTTTCCCCATTGGCCAGGAACCTAAGCTCCTTTTGGGGTTGTCATTCCACACCCCCAAGATTCCTCCAAGGCCTTGGGGAAGGAAACTGAGGCAGGCCTGGCCATGGCAAGAGGAAGAGCTCTGGCTGCCCCCCAGGGGATTCAGGGTGGGGGGCCTGCCTCTTTCTCTGGCCATGGCAGCCCCCTTGGAAGAAAGGCAGGAGACCCGCAGCAGGGAGCAGCCAAGTCCGGTTCTTCTCCGCAATGGCTTCCTCTTCTGAGAGCTCCCTCTCTTTCTTGTCTGGGCTGGACTGGGAGGATCCCAGTTCAGCCAGTTCCCCTCAGTCTCCCCACTGGGTTCCAGTGGCCCCCTGAGACCTGCAGGGATCCAGAGTGGAAGCGACTTCTCCCGTTGAACTACCGCCTGAGGGGGAAGAATAATCGAGGTCCGCCCAGAAAGGGCTCCTGGGATCCTGAGGAGCAAGAAGGCGTCTGGCGAGGAGCAAGGCTGCTCTGCGGAGGCAAAGCCATCATGGCAGGAAGGCGGCTGAGGATGCCCCGTGAGCACTGGCCCCTGAAGCTGCCACCCTCCTTCGCTGGGAGGAGAGACCCCCGAGAGCGTGGGACCCCCGAGGTCCATAGGGGAGCCATGATGTCTCTGGGAGCGGCTGGGGCCTCCGGAAGAAACAAAATGCCGTTCCCGCCTTTTCCGGAAAAGGGCGGGAAACGCCATCTCCTGGCCCTGCCGCCTCCGTGGGTTCCTCCTGGGTCTCCCTGGCCTTGGGTGGGGGGTGCAGCTGCCCCAAAACTCTTCCCTTCCCCAGACATTGAGGGGGGGGCATTAAGAGAAGGAGAAATGAAGGAGAAGCTGGGAGGGGGAGCAGCCAAGAGGGAAACTCAGGGGGAAACTCCCTCAGGAAACCGGGCGAAGGAGAGGATGAGGCCCAGGGGAATCTGAAAGGGGATTGGTCCAGCTCTCAAATGGAGAGGCTTCTGATTGGTCCTGCTCTGGGGTGAGAAATGGGGTCAAATGGTTCTGAGACCGCAGTATAAACTGGTTTTCTGACAGGAAACACAGGGAAAGGATGGAGTTGGGAAGGAGGGAAGAGTCCCAGAGTGGGGGGGGGGCTGCCCCCGTGAGCAGCATGTGCCCCTCTCCCTCCCTCCCCAATAGTGGGCTTCGCCTTTCCTGCCTGTGGTGCTTTTACGGGGGGGGGCTTCCACACCTCCCCCCCCCCAGGATGGGACACTTCCTCATCTGTCTCTCTTCCTTTGCTGCAGAAGCAGGAAAGTCCGCTTGGCGGGGGGGGAGATTGTTTTCGGAGGGGGAGGGATCTCCTGGCTGGGAAGCCCCTCCCCCCATTCTTCCCCCCACTCGCTGATCGGGAGGGTGTTTTGCTTTTTTGAGGGTGTCTTGATGGAGCCATTTCTTAGCCTCTTCTCCCTCCCAGCCTTTCCTTGGGATTCAGGAGCCTCCATGTTGGAGGAGGGGGAGAGCCAAGGTAACCCCCCCATGGCGACCCCCGTCTCTCTTTCGGTTAGTCTGGATCATATGTGGGCTCCTTGGGGCAGAGTCCTTGGCACAGACGGGAGCGGCCCCTTGAGCGCAGGCGGAGAAGCAGGAAAACTGCGGAGAGGGAGGGGTGCCCTCGGCTTTGCAAGGGTTAAAAGGAGTAAAGCTGGATTCCTAGAGAGGACAGGAAGTGAAGGGGGGTCAAGGTCCTCCATGGCTAAATTCCCTCCCTCCCACATCCCTTCCTGCAAGCGGAGAGGAGGTGGCTTGGTTTTCTCTCCTTTGCAAAAGCTTCCTCGGTGCCCCTCCTGGAATCCGGTGAGTCTCCTCTCTTCCCCCG